ACCCACTCTTTTTACCACTTGTCCATCAACATATTTTATTCAATAGTTGCACCAAAATTTTAATATATGAAAACAACGGTAAATCAGAAATTCTATGGTTTTATCTCAACATGCAACTGTCTCATAAGTGTTTAAATATTGTCTCATAAGTGTGGATATATATATAACAACAAACAACTACAAAAAGTGTCATCACCAACATGCTTGTCCAACAAACTAGTATCCATAAGTGTTTATGATGTATTCATGTATGTTTTGCGTTATGCATATTGAAGAGTTTGAAGAGAACTAAAAGAAGCCGATGAATCTTTAATAGAAGATGATGGTGAAGATTGTGAGACAAAGAATAAATAATAAAGTTACAAAATCAAACTATCAAAGATGATTATGGTTTAAAATGGTAGAGTACTAAATAAACATATATGAATACATCATAAACAAACACATATGTTTTCATCGATTTGAATTTTTTTTAGGTTTGTATGAAAGTTAGGCATGAAGATATGAACACAAACCCAAACAAAATTAGGAACTAAAACAAAAAAAATTATGTTGCAGTAAATAAAACCAAAAACGTGCCAACTTATAGGAACGGAAAGACTATTTACTCCAAAGTACTGGGTTTGTGTTCATATCTTCATCCCTGACCTTCATACAAATCTAGAATATTTTCAAACCCAAAATTATTCCTTGTTATTCCTTATTCTCCCTTTTCTTTTTAGGTCCAAATTACTTGTTTGAATGACAATTATCACGTGTGCTATTATTCTTTTGCTTAAAAATGATTTCTCATACTTCTATCAAGATCAAAGACTACCACTGTACAACAAAAATTTACCATCAATTCTATTAGATGATAAAGCTTGTAAACTCACCCCATCATCAAAAGCAACAACAAAATTAAATAAAACAAAGTAAAGTTATCAATTGAGAATTTGACAGAAAATTGAGAATTTTGTAACGGAAAATTGACATCAGAGACTAAAACTAAACAAACTAAAATAAAAAACAAATTAACTTACCGAAACCAAAACACTATTTAAATCTTAAATAAATATATAATTATAATTTAAAATTGAAACAAATGATAATTAGATTTAAAGATTTGGAACTATGAATCCATTCGAAATATGTTTTTTAATATTTTTCACTCCTCCAACTAAAGAAATAGAGTTCTCTTTTAATTTATATCACTTTGATTGACATTATACGACTATTAAATAAGAAAGATTATAAATTATGAGGAAGTCATACCATATTTTCACCTAAAATATAATTGAATCTTTTAAATTACAAAATGCTCAATTTCAACTATTTTAAATCAAAGTAAAATTTCTAACTTACACTTTATCGCCACAAGAGATAAATTGTTTTATTTTTTGTCTTTTTATTTTAATTTTGAAAGAAAGAAATTATTTTAATTTTGAAAGAAAGAAAGAAAGAGAATGAGTGTTTTATAGGTACATGTACAAAATAGATTGTCCACTAAACATCTCTCTTTTATAGTTTTACTCATCCAAATATATCGAAAGTGAAATTCATCTCTCTAAGAGCACTCCAATGGGAATTGCTTATGGTCTTCATGGATATATAAAGTTTTGGAACTTAATTTTTTACCATTGAAACATATTTATGTAGAGGTTGCTTATTTTTTTGTGTGTCACTTGTTTGTTGGAGAAACTTTAAAAGATATGTTATTTATTATTAAATAATATTAATTTTGATAGTTGGTGGAGTGACAAATATAAATTACTTATTGAAATTAATATTAGAGTAAAATTAATTTAAATTACTTAGATGTTATTTAAATACAATGTGACAATTTGATCTCACACAAAATAACTAAAGCAAGAAAAATTAATTCTCTCATTAAAGAAGTTCTAAGTAAATATTACTTATTATTAATACAAAATATACTCAATAATAAGTATTTTTAATTATTTTATGGAAAACTTTTTTAAATTATTATTTTTTATGCAAAAAAAAATGTGTTGTTATCATGTACCATATATTTGTTTAAATTTGTATATTAGTTTTACAAAAGTTTGTGGCCATACTACAGCAGCAAAATCAAATCCATTTTCATTTTATGTCACCTTTTATTTTCTTTGATGTACCACCTTAATCTCCAACAAGACATGTAAGATATACTCTCATATCATATTAATGGTATTAGTAGCTTATGTTCATCATACCTTCATATTACAAATACCTACCACCTAACATCAATCAATAGTAGCATCTATAAAACCACACTCTTCCATTACCTTTCCACAAACCAAATACTTTCATAGCAATAAAATCTTATACTTATCATTACCACCTTTCCAAAAACATCAAAACTATGAAGCAAATCATCTTCTTTTCACTCTTAGTACTATTTGCTCATATGTTTTTCATCACTACTTCAGCTCAATCACCAGCAGCAGCACCTAAACCTGCCCCAGCCACACCAGCTCCAGCAGCAGCGCCAGCAAAACCATTAGTCCCTTCATTACCTCAATCACCCTCCTCCGATTCTTCGTCCGGTCAAGACATTATCAAAATCCTAAGAAAAGCTAAATCATTCAATACACTGATCCGGTTGCTGAAAACAACGCAAATCATCAACCAAATCAACGCGCAATTAGTGACAGCAAAATCCGGTGGTTTAACTATTCTTGCACCCGACGATGGTGCTTTTTCCCAGCTCAAAGCCGGATACTTCAATTCCCTCAGCGAACGCCAACAGAAAGAACTGATACAGTTTCATGTTCTTCCTGTTTATGTCTCAAGCTCAAACTTTGATTCACTTAGTAACCCTGTGCTGACACTTGCAAGTGATAGTCCTTCTGGTTATCAAATGAATGTGACTGCTTATGAAAACAATGTGAATATTTCAACAGGTTCTGTTAATGCTACACTCACAGGGATAGTGTATTCTGATAAGACACTTGCTATATATCATGTTGATAAGGTGCTTATTCCTTTGGATTTCTCTAAGCCTAAAGCTCTAGCTCCTGCTCCTACAATAGCAAAAGCACCTAAAGGTGCTAAGGATTCATCTTCAGATGATGATCAGGGTGAGACAACTAAGGCTACATCTGGTGCTATCAGTTTGATTAGCCTTCAAGGAAAATTGTTTGTGTCCATTTTTGTTGCTGCACTAACCATACTCATTTGATGGCTGTTATGATTTTTGAATTTCTATTATGCTATTTCTTTCTTTCTTTCTGTTTTTTTTTTGTTGAGAAGATTGTTGTTTGAGAGCTTGTGAAGTGTGAGCACTTTCAGAAAACATATTGTTTTGGTGAAAGAAAGTTTACTATATAAATTACAATTATAATTATGATGTTTTTAATAATTGATTATAATCATTTTGTTTTTGATACAAAAAGTTTACTCTAAGTTACGATTTTTCACAATGGACTTAAGACCTTATAGTTGAGAAAAGAAACCTTATTGCTATTTATGTATACTTCCAAACAATTTATGCAGACATGTCACCTGACAACAATGCAGAAAAATATACTCTTTATCATTTTGAAAATCAAGTCAAGGCCTCTTCATAATTTTAATTGTTCCGATTTCTTTGGCCGAAAAATCGTTCCACAATAGAAACTCTTCCGGCATATTGTTTTGGACCAATAGTATTTATATTTTAACCGTTTAAACTAAATCTAACAACCGAAAAATTGCTGAATACGCGAATGCGGCAAAAGATAACTGCAGTGAATTTGATTTCTATTGTTTTAGCATCAAATACAGTATAAACTGATATGAGAGTATGGTAGGTCTAATGTTTGCTTCTTAGCTCCTCACTCCTTATTAACAAACTATAAAGCATTGAATTCAGATATTGAGACATGATATCATATGATACAGACACTTAGTATTTGAGTTTTTTTATATGGTTCTCTTAAATGTCCCATATTTAAATTATAGTTTCTCTAAAATATTTCTTCAAAAAGTGATCCTCTAAAAAGTTTTAATTATAAGTTTTGGTCCCTCATGTTAAAACCATCGTTAAAATTATCGTTATTTCAGTCACTAAATAAAAAACCGCCGCTAAAACTGCCGTTAATTCTGTCGCTAAATTGTAAAAACTGTCGCTAAATTACAAGATCAATAGTTAAAATTAAAATTTTTAAGAAGACCATTCTTAAAATTTTTTTTTTTAAGGAACTAAAATTTAAATATGAAACATTTAAAAGTATAAAAAACATATTTAACCATATTATTAATGTTTTTAATTCTTTATCAAAACATTGCTTCTACGTGTTTAACCCATTTTGATGTGTGTGAGATTTGTCAAAAAAAAAATATATACAAGTGTTTCGAAACAAAAAAAAAATTGTTTAAAACATTTATCAAAATTGTTTGACATATATGGTATGAGTGTCATACAGATGCTTGAAACCGATTCAATGAGTATTGAAGCAAATAATTTATTTTAAAATATTTGCCTATTTTTCCAACACATATTGTGAGTGTCATATAAATATTAGATGTTACCCCATAACAGAAATCTCACCAGCCTAATTCTAGAGGCATTCACACAGTTAAGAAATCTTTGTCAGACAGTTAGGAAGATAAATTATAATCCGATTATTTCCTCTTCTCTCTGGCGGATGGAAAACCTCAACCTCTAACAGATCAAAAGCCCATTTTCCTACCACATTTTCATATATCCCCAGCATCAAATAATTGATATTATAACTCTATGATGTGATAAAACCAAAACAATTCATGCATACACATTTGAATCTACCTGCATCCCTTTAATAATTATATAACTCCACTGTCTCACAACTAATTAATCAATATATGACATGATATCTGATGAAAAAGTTGTAACTTCCAATTTTCTTTTCAACTAAACTAAACCTTGCACCTATTAACATCCTCAATAAAAACCAACCCTTTGTCCCTCATTCCTCACATAAGAACACAAATTAACTACTATCAAGTAGTAATCTCCAAGTGTGATACACATTAATCTCATCTCAACACATTCAACAATGAAGAAACAACAATTTCTTTTATCTTCAATTCTACAACTACTAACTTTGACCCTCTTCTACTCCATTACCATCTCAGCACAACTCTCACCATTTCAACCCCCACAAACATCAACATCAGCACCAGGTTTCGATACAGTTCCCCTTGTACCAGTCTCCCCAAGTGAAGGCCCCACCCCTATCGACACCATCCCCAAAACATCATCCATTGACATCATCCTAATTCTACAAAAAGCCAAAAGATTCTCGGTTCTTGTTCGCCTTCTCAAAACAACTCAGTTAATAAGCCAACTCAACTCTCAGCTAGTTACATCATCATCATCATCAGATTCTAGCAATGATGGTTTAACCCTTTTCGCACCAGAAGACAGTGCTTTCTCAAAACTGAAACCAGGTTTCCTTAACTCTCTCAGTGACAGACACAAAGTAGAACTGTTACAATTCCACACACTTTCCTCATTCATCTCAATCTCAAATTTCGACACCTTAACAAACCCGGTTCAAACACAAGCCGGAGACGATGCCAAAAGGCTACAACTTAACGTAACCACTTCCGGGGGGAGCCGAGTTAGCCTGACAACTGGTGCGGTTAACGCTACTGTTACAGGAACCGTTTATGCAGATAATAAACTAGCTATATATCAGGTTGACAAGGTTCTTGTCCCTCTTGATCTTTTGCTTCCTGCACATGCACCAGTTCCTAAAGGAGGCTCATCTAAGCCTGATGATGGAAGCAAGTCATCGTCCTCATCGAAGGATGATGATGATGAAAACAAAGACTTGCCTTCTGAAGCTTCTTCTGGAGGTGGTTACTGCAGTGTGAAGGGAATGTGGCTGGCTTTTGTTGTTGGGATTGTTTTGTTTGGTTGTGAAGCTATGCTATCAATTTGATGTAGTTTTGCTATGTGTTGTTTCTGGTTTTGCTTTGTTTGGTTTGCGTATATATAGTAGATTGAAAATGGTTATGTATATATGTCTGAAATCTGTGTTTTGAAATTTTACAATATTTGATATTGTATGATTTCTTTTTTTCTATATTGGGTAAGTTATTTGTTAGTTTGCTAATGAATATAGATATATGTGGATAAGAACACCATTACCTCTCTTATTAAGTACTCCTCCATCCTATATTATAAGGTACGTTTTGGTGTTTTGGTATTTGACCCGAATTAAGAAACTATTAATAAAAATAAATTATATATGATTTTAAAGTAATATCCTTTGTAATTATAATAAAAAAGAGAAATTAAAAAGATTAAAAGAAAAAATAATAATAAATATTTGAGAGTATGTTAAAAAAATAAATTATAAATATTATATTGAAATGATAAAATGACTTATAATTTATATATATGTATTTTATTAAAAAGTGTTGAAATCATTAAATAGAATAAAGTTATTTTGGCAACTTTGGCATTTGTCAAAAAATTAGAGTTCTTATTATTTTTATGTTTACTAGTTTCTATAATTAATTTTAATTATTATTTTAATATTTATTTAATTTATTTATTAATTTCTAACTACTATTTTATATTGTTTATGTTTATTATAATTTAATTTTGTTTATTATACATTTAGGCTTTGGAAATAACCAAATGTATATGGATTCACATTCAATTTTTTTCCTTAATAGATGCATAAGGAAATATTTGGGAAGGACCGAAGAAAGAGACTAAAAAAATGTTTCACTTCTAATATCTATTTCTCAATACATTCGATTAAATTTCACCCGTGAACAATACAATTCACTTTCAATGTCATCATCAATTTCTTTTCTCTTAATCTGATTCATCTCATTATTGTTGGAAACTCACCAAAGTTTATGATGAATTTCTACCACAATGACAATTTAATTATGAGAGAAACAAATAAAGAAGACAAGACAAATAATTTCTGCAGAGTTTGTCTCTGCTCACAAACTGTGAAAACTTTATTATTCACTTTGCAACTGCAAAATACTGTGAATGACTTGCTTGACTTGTTTACAAAAATAGGGGTTACTCCTTCTATTTATAACTGAGCTTACACCCTAAACTCAAAGCCTAAAATATCTTTTTGTTACTAAATCAAATCTAATTTATTCTAGACTTAAATCAAATCTATTTAAATCTAAAACAAATCAAATCTTTTCGACACATAGTTTCGACACACTGAATTACAATTTAACACACCACCTAATTCATTGTGTCTAAACTATCTATGTTCATCATGGCTCTTAGTCTTCTGAATACTTCGACTTGCACTCCCTTTGTCATGATGTCTGCAATCTGATTCTCAGTTCTGCAGTGTTCCAAATTCATCTTCCTATCTGCTACCTGCTCTCGAAGATAATGGAACCTCATTTCGATGTGCTTACTTCGACCATGTGATATTGAGTTCTTCGCCAGATTGATAGCTGACATGCTGTCGATCTTCATGGTAATTGCTCCATGATCTTTCCCTGTTATCTCTTCGACCAAGTTCACCATTCAAGTTGCTTGACATGCACAAAGAGAAGCAGCTATGTATTCTGCTTCGCATGATGATAATGTCACTACTGGTTCCTTTCTTGAATTCCAAGCAACTGGTGCACCACCTAGCATAAACACATATCCTGCAGTTGACTTTCGATCTTCAGCATCACTACACCAACTCGAATCAGTGTATCCCACTAACTTGCATTCTTTTCATTTATCATCTGCAGGAAACGAAATTCCATAATCAAAAGTTCCTTTGAGATACCTCAGTATCCTTTTTACTGCTGCTAGATGTGATACCTTTGGCTTCCGCATGAATCTACTTACCATACCTACACTGTATGCTAAGTCAGGCCTTGTATGACAAAGATATCTCAATGATCCAATAAGTCTTATGTATTAGGTTGGATCAACATCATCTTCATCTGCATCTTTTGACAATTGCAGTCTTGGTTCTACAGGTGTCGAAGTTGAGTTGCATTCTTCCATCTCAAACCTCTTGAGAATTTCTCCTGCATATCTTCTTTGATGCATCATCAAACCTCTACTTCTCTTGTAGAATTCGATACCAAGGAAATATGAAATCTCACCCAAATCAGACATTTCGAATTCCTTGCTGAGATCACCTTTGAAGTCTTCGATCTCACTTTTACAACTATCTGTTATCAACAAATCATCTACATAGAGACATAGTATAAGCAATTTACTCTTGCTTCTTCTTACATATACTCCATGTTCAGTTGTGCACTTCACAAATTCCTTCTCCCTTAGAAAACTATCAATTTTCTTATTCCAAGCTCTTGGAGCTTGTTTCAATCCATACAGGGCTTTATGCAATCTGTACACCTTTCTTTCTTCGTCATGTTTCACAAACCCAACTGGTTGTTTAACATAGACTTCTTCATATAAGGGTCCATTTAGGAATACACACTTCACGTCTATCTGACATATGTGCCAACTGTTTATTTCTGCTAGACCAACAACCAACCTGATTGTTTCAATCCTAGCAACAGGTACAAAAACTTCATCGAAGTCTATTCATTCTTTATGTAGAAATCCTTTCGCCACAAGCCTTGCTTTGTGTCGAGTTACTTCACCTTTCGAATTCGTTTTCACTTTGTATACCCACTTGACATTAACTGCCTTCTTGCCTTGAGGCAATTCGACAAGTGACCAAGTGTTATTGTCTTCGATAGACTTCACTTCTTCGTTCATTGCTTTCACCCACTTCAAATCCTTCAATGCTTCAGATGCATTAACAGGTTCGACATCTGCATAGAAAGCATAATGTACCAGTTCAACTTCATTATCTATTACATCATCTGATGTAATCACACAATCTTGCAATCTTACAGGCATGCGTCTTGTTCTTTGAGGCCTGCTTCTACTTGGTATAGATGCTGGTTCCTCTTGTCGAACTTCTCTTTCGACTTGAGTTTCTGGCTCTTCGAGTAGGATTCCCACTGAATCTTTCTTGACATTTTCAGTCCAATCCCATTCTTTAAACTCATCTATGATCACGTCCCTGCTAATCACAATCTTCTTGTTCTCTGGATCAAACAACTTGTAGCCTCATGTCGAATGATATCCAACTAGAATCATTTGACTTGACTTGTTATCAAGTTTTCTTCTCAACTGATCTGGCACATGTCTATGTGCAATAGTCCAAATACCTTCAGATGACTCAAGCTAGGCTTCACACCAGACCAACATTCTTCTGGAGTGATTCCTTCTAGCTTCTTTGTAGGACATCTGTTCGAAATGTATGTTGCAGTCGAAACAGCTTCACCCCAAAACTCTTTAGGTAAATTCTTGGCTTCCAACATACTTCATACCATATTCATGATGGTTCGATTCTTCCTTTCTGCAATTCCATTTTGTTGTGGAGTATAGAGTGGCACCACCTCATGAATAATCCCTTCCTTTTCACATAGCCTGTCAAAGTATTTCGACACATATTCTCCATCATCATCAGTTCTCAAAACTTTGAGCTTTCGACCACTTTGTCTTTCGACCATAGACTTAAACTTGGAAAATACTTCGATCACTTTTCTTCTTGATCAGATAAGTCCACAACTTTCGACTGAAATCATCTATGAATGTAACAAAGTATTTGTTACCTCCCATCGAATCCACCTGGATTGGTCCACATACATCAAAGTATATGACTTCAAGAATAGCCTTCGATCTGCTTCCTGCATCCTTGTTGAAGCTATTCTTGTGTTGCTTCGCCTGCACACATTCCTCACATACTTCATTTGGAATGTCAATTTCAGACAATCCTGAAACCATATTTTTTCTCTTCAAATCTCTGATGTCTCTGAAGTTGAGATGACCTAGTCTATAATTCCATATCCATTCATCTCTGCTAGCTGCAGTTGAAAGGCACTCGTTCTCCATCACATTTAGTTCAATCTTGAAGGTTCGATTCTGAGACATAGAAGCCTTCAAGATTAATCTCCCATTTGCATCAACAACTCTCATCATCTTATCTTTGATTGACACTTTATAATTCTTTTCGACCAACTGCCCTATACTGAGCAAATTGCTCTTCATGCCTGGTATGTACAATACATTGGAAATTACTGACCTCTTGCCATCTTTCCTCATAATCATAACATCACCAATACCTTTAGCTGCTAGGATATTGTCATTTGCAAATTTTACCATATTTTTCATTGAGGGCTTTATATTGACAAACCAGTCTTTCCTTCCAGACATATGTGATGAACATCCTGAATCCAAGTACCATTGGTCCTTGAATCTATCTTCATCTCTTGTTGTGACCATCAACATCATCTCTTCTTCTTCATGTTTTGCAAGCTTTGCATCACTTTCTTGATTCTTTCATTTTTCTGGACAATCACTCGAATAGTGTCCATACTTCTGACAATTGTAACATTGAATGTGACTCTTATTAGGTTTTCGACCACCACCTCTTCCTCTATTTGCAACACCACCTCTTTGGTTGCCTTGGTATGGTCTTCTTTGATTCGACATGTTTCCTTCGATTTGGTTTCCTCTACCATTCGATTTGTTGTAGCCACCTCTACCTCTGTCGAAACACTTTCCTTTGCCTTTGGTCTCTTTTGTTGAATGTACCTGCAAGGCCACATCACTCTTCGATTTTCCTGAAGCTCTTTCGTTCATTCTTTGTTCATGAGATTCAAGCATCCCTTGAAGCTCTTCCTTTGTCAATTTCGACAAGTCTTTCCCCTCTTCTATCGCCACCACAATGTGGTCGAACTTAGGAGCTAAATATCTCAAGATCTTTGAAACAACAGCTCTTGTTGTTAACGTTTCTCCACATGTCTTGATTTGATTTACTAGTTTTGTAACTCTAGTGAAGAAGTCATATATGCTTTCATTGTCTTCCATCTGAAGCAGCTCATACGTCCTTTTGTGATTTTGTAACCTCACTTCTTTCACCTTCTC